AAGTCCAGACCATTTTGTGGCTCGTCTTTCCACTCACCTAACGTTGTCTTGTAACGACCATCCCATTCCTGTTTAAAGATTGCTCGCAGACCCTCGGCAATGATATTAGTGGCGAGATAGCAGACACGGAAATAATTCAGCTGTTCGTTGGTGTATTCTGGAGCAGTGGCCATGTAAAGCTTGACTGAGAAAAAATTGAATATAGTAGGATATGTATTGCCATGCAGGTAAATTATAAAGTGCTTTAGCCAAGTTTAAGGGACGATTCTCAATTAAGAGCTTGGAGGAGCGGAGGACATGGGAGAGGAGAGAGAGGGAGGTGGTTGGACTTCGGTTGTGTCATGATCTGCATGATGTCTGTGCAATACCTCACGCGAGGCTAAACCGAAACCAGGGATATCACACATTAAGTAACATTCTTGCTCATCTAACTTTGTTAAACTAGATAATTAGCCAATCCAAGACCAGGCCTTACTTGGTCTTGTATTGGGTCAGTAAAGGGGGAAAGGGTAAACTTTGCTGGACAGGATATCGTTTTCACTTCAATTCTGACGTGTAATTGCAGTCTAATTTGATAATCACCTGGTCAATTTCCTAAACAGCATGAACTACCGTAAACTACCTCTTATAAACCCTAAGCTTTTGCAACTTCCTAAGGAGCTTTAGGGCCTATAAACTAAAGAACTGGAATAGAAAAAAACTCAACGAGACGAGCTACATCACTGCTGATCAATACGCTTTGCATTTACTGGTTCTTAATTATAAGCTTTAAAACGTCATGATCAATCGAATTTAGGGGCCGACCATTTAACTTTTGAAGGGGGGGTGGGTGATTTCTGGTCACCAAGAAAATTTTTTCTAGCAATCTGCTGGGAAGGATATTTTCCGTTCTAAATGCTCTTTTTTTTCTGCTACATTTGGAGTGCATGCAATTTTTTTCTTCCAACAAGCGCTTGGAGGAAATTTATTTTTCAAAATCACCCACCCCCCTCCCCTCAAGACTTAAATGGTCGGCCCCTTATTCCAGTACATTTAGTACAGAACTAAAGCTAACAACACGAACGAAACCGGAAAGTAACAAACCGGAATTTTAGACTTTTCCCTCAAAGCTCATCTTCGACAATTAAAAAGAAATAATAAAATTGTTGTTCCGAAAATTTTTTTTTCAAATTTCAGTTTCAATTAGTACAGAGTTCCCATCTCTAAAAGCAAGAGAAGACAGACGGAGGCTTATACACGGGGGGAGGGGGGGTGTATAATCGTTATAATCGGTCTATAAACGGCGACAAAGGCGTCGACGTTGATGCACCTCAGCAGAGGAGAAGGATCCAAGATTTCTTTCTGTTAATTTGAATGCCGGGCTGTTACTAACATTTCCTTTCCGAAATACTAATACAAAGCTTCATATTTTACCATATAGAAAAAATTTGAAATAAATTTTGCCACATCATATGTCTTTTTTGACATGTCCTTCGAATTCTAGCTTCGTATAATCGCGCTTACAGATGATATACTTAGTAAACAAACAATATTATAGTTTTACAGCACACAAACTGTTTTTTTTTT